CCACATTTATTTCGGTATATGCCCTTGGGGAGTTCGTGTGTTTTAGGATAATAAATAAGCAGGCACCCCTTCTACATTCCGATTTACTTCGTATAGTCTACCTAAAAGCTCGCCTTAACATGGTCATATTTCTAAATTGATCCGATAAGAAATTTATTGGTATTTTATGATATCTATTTTTTCCAGCGAAAATCTACGGAATGCGTTGCAAATATATGGCGCATTTCTCAAGAAAATATCAAAGCTTCAGAGATATGGACAAAAATATGCTATTTATATTGAAGAACTCCTAGAGCAAAGAAGTTTGGCATTTAAAACATACCGTTTGAGCCTGACAGGAAATAATTCTGATTTTGAAATAATCATTATTTTATTTAAATCTAATACCAAGACCATGTTATGACAAGAAATAAATTTTTAAAATCTTAAAACAAAATTTTAAACATCCTAAATTTAAGTGAAGTAACCCTTCATCTAAATAAAAATGAAAAGTTTTCTGTCTGACAGTTGTAGGAGTAACCACTTATATCATTATTAAGAGAAGAGATACTTTATTAACTATTTATAAAACTGTTATTTTGCATCGCAGTGTTGTAAAGTTTTTGGACAGAAATTTTCTCTTTATCGAGAATATAATCTAAAAAGGCGAGAACCTTCGAGATATAGAGAAAATTGAAGTCCAAAACCTTTATAGCACGTCGTGTCAAAAAATAGTGTTATAGGTCATTTTATGAAACGTTTGTGTACTTGTCTTATTGCAATGGCTATTTCTATAAATCAAAAAAGCTTTGAAACAAAGTAGAAGTCAAAAATAAAGTTAATTTGAATTATTTTCATTTCAGTTGAAAAAAATTATTTTGAAAATATCCTAAATTTTTTGGAGAAAATCCGGGAACCAATCAAAACTTTATAGCACACGTGCTATAATGTACAGCTAATTTAACTTTATAGCACGATGATTACTTAATAGCACATTCATAATGAAATTAACTATAAAGTTAGTAAGAATGATAAAGTACACAATAGTTTCATAGAACATTTTATTTTTATTCAGGTGGTTGAGATCATCTTTAATTTTGGCGATTCCAGGACTTGTCTTCAGTCTGGTATTCACTCTACCTAACTACTTTATGATCAGGTATATTAGTTCTAGGTCTTGTATTCACTCTACCTAACTACTTTATGATCAGGTATATTAGTTCTAGGTCTGGTATTCACTCTACCTAACTACTTTATATTAGTTCTAGGTCTTGTATTCACTCTACCTAACTACTTTATGATTATATTAGTTCTAGGTCTTGTATTCACTCTACCTAACTACTTTACAAGGACATCCAAAAAAATTTCAAAATTAGCCGAAATATGATTGAAATATGTATGTACAAACAAGAAGAAAATGAAGAACAAGAAATATAGAAATCTCAAAATTTTTCCATCTGATATCATATAAATATTTAAATATATTGTAAATTTAATTAAAATAAGTTATCAAAGGAATTGAGTCTTTGCCACATACTCTGATTTTCTAATCACTATATCTTTGGAACCAAATGTTGATAATATTTTCCTATTACCCCAGGGTTTTTTTTAATATTTTCCTATTACCCCAGGGGTTTTTAATATTTTCCTATTACCCCAGGTTTTTTTTTAATATTTTCTTATTATCCCAGGAGTTTTTAATATTTTCCTATTAACCCAGGGGTTTTTAATATTTTGCTATTACTTCAGGTTTTTTTTTTAATATTTTCCTATTAGCCCAGGGGTTTTTTAAATTATCCTATTACCCCAGGGTTTTTAATATTTTCCTATTAGCCCAGGTTTTTTTTTAAATATTTTCCTATTACCCCAGGGATGTTATATATTTTCTTCTCTATATAATATAACATCTTCTGTTTCTATATTGTTTTCCATCTGTATTTATCAAATTGATCCAAATAAATGTCGAAACGGCTAAACCATTTGACCCTTATATTTGTAAGACTTTACGTATTGTTTCTTGGCTTGTATCCTGGTTTTCAAGTACCCCAGCAGGGATAAGGTCAAAGAGAGTGTCTGGCTAGATAAGGTAGTTGAGCTGAGAATGCAGTTTTGGTGGGAATTTTGCGCCCGGGTGCAACAAGCCTACCTGTTAGGTTGTGGCCCTGTTCGCCTGCCTGGCAGGTTGGAAAATCAAGAAGGATTTTAATGATTGAATTCTAACTCTTTCTTATATACCATACACTACAGACGTCTTATAGGTCTCAAATGATTTCTAAAATATTTCTTTACAATACTGCACTCTCAGTTCAACTACCATGTCTAGCCAGACACTCCCTTTGAAAATACACATTTTATTTATGTGTTTCTAGAACTGTATGGAGTAAGGTTCCAGTGTATGGGGAGCTACCGGAGGGATTCCAACTCAATCAGGTAAAGGCTGAAAAACTCCCCTTTAATGGGACTGTTGGAGTAATTTCAGTGACCCTCCATGTGAAGAGTAGCGTGTCCTATTCACAATAGTATACCTCTTAAACCTATGACTGATTAAGAATGTCAGACATGTCTAGTCTATTCATAAAACGCTTTTAAATTATATTATTATTTACAACTAATTTACAGGAAAGGTAAGGGCATTTTTCTTTACCAGAGTTCCCATGGACCAATTTTGCCAACAAAACATCCTTTACAATAAAAAAGGCAATTTGGACAGTTTTAAAATTTAAAGGTTTCAATAAGTATGACGATATAAACTTTGTAAATTGTCCAAACTGGCAAAAAAAGGTTTCCCTCTCACAGGTAGAAAAACTCGGGTTTGGAAATTAATTTCTATGTATTTCATAACCTCATCAGTCCTACAGAAAATAACCAAAATTATTACAAATTAAAAATAAAGATAATGTAACAAATACTTTCGGGAAATTTATAAAAAATTAAGCAAATTAGGGGAGGAGGATTTTTTTAAAAGTGAAATGAAAAAAATGAAAAGTGTAAAAATTATGGTCAACCTTAAAGAATGGTGGTATTGTCAAAACTGAAAGAAATGTTCATTGAATTAAGGGTTGGGGGATGGGTGGGGGGGAAGGGGTTAGGAGAATAGGTTAGGAGTTTTGAGTTTGTGGGGGAGGGGGCAATGTATGTTTATTTTTTTAAAAAAACATTGCAATTAGCATATAAGAAAAACAACTATAGAACAACAACAAAGACTAAATTAGTTAAACAGAAAACAACCACACTAAAGCCACAACAGAAAGTTGTATCATCTTTTTTTGTTTAGTCCTTTTGCTGTTGTGTTAAACTGGTTGATAAAATATGATTCTCTGATCTTCCGATATGTTGGATTGTTTTCTTTACATTTTTCAAGAACTGTAACTTTCATATTTGATAGTGTATGTCCTGGAAGGTTGAAATGATTTCCAGTGGGTTGTGTTAAATTAGCACTTTTTACATAACCTATATGTTCTCTAAACCTATGAGCTAATCTCCTTCCTGTTTCTCCAATATATTGTATATTGTGGCAACTAGGTTTTTTGCAAGATATACAGTAAACCACATTGTAACTTTCACAAGACTCAAGAGCTTTTATTTTTACAGCAAAGTTTGATCTTGAACTTTTTACCTTCTCTGTGGTGTGTAGGAAAGGGCAAGTGTTACACCCATATCTGTTACATTTTTTCATTCCTACTAGGGTTCTCCTGTACCTTGTTTCCTTTGGGAGTTTTGTTTTTACAAGGAGGCTCTGCAATGATGAGTTTCTGGGTTGCCTGTAGGCTTATAAACTTATATAAACTTTTTTAGCAACATAATTTTACATAAATGTTTACTGGAAATAGATTTTATAAATAGTTTAAAAACACGTTTTTTGGACCGTTAAACTTTATCTGTTAAACAATTGTAGCTATGTTTCTTGCTTAGTTTCAAAGGAAATAAGTCTTTGCCTCAAACTCTGATTCTTCAATATCTGTATCTTTGCAAGCCAATGTCGTAGACCTTAGATATTTCAAACTAAGAATTCTGTTAGATAAAATAATCTAAGTTTAAAATATCAAAATTGTTCACCATAAGGTTGCAAAGATATGTGAATAAGAAAATTCAAGTTTAATTCATGTGTTATAAGATTAAACATTTTAGACCATTCTTTCACAATGGAACGCATCCTCTCCCTTCTTCAACACTCAGACCGCCTCAGGTTAGAATTTTCTAAATTGGAATCCAAAAAATGTCACTTTTGAAAATCTTCTCAAAATACAATAAAATTAAAATTAAACATTTCCAAAATAAATCTCTATGGCCATTGATCAACAATGAATTATCAGTTTCGAAGTCGATGATGAGGTTTTTTACATCTTAAATTATTACCATTTCTAAATTTCTAAGGAATAGGGTCCAATCAGACAATTTTATTTTTCACATAATCTATACGTACATCAATATCCCATATTTAGTCTTGGCATTTTCAAAATGTTGTCGGCCTTTTTTGTACTTTATATTACCGGAGATATGAAGAATTTCGTTCAGATTTGGACACATTTTCATAATATTTAATAATATTGAAATCTGAACGCCATTTTCAATTATCTTCGGTAATATTGAAAGTTCTAAAACGACAATCAAACCGTCTTGCTACTCTCATGTTGTGTGGGACACCCTGCATAAAGCATTCTATCCTTCGGAATTTTCTCAACTTTTAAAGTGAACTAGGTGCGGATTCACTGCACAATTTAATGTTCATTGTAATAAATAACTGCATCTTAACTTTCTGCTCCACAGTTTTTGGGTCTAACTTTAGTAAAAACCTTTTGCTTAATTTTAATCTTGATTTCTATTTAAATATTCAGGAGCAAACATGACATTGGTCCGCGCTGAAAATGAGACTCTGCTCGTAACTGGAGAAAGGAAAACAAACAGTTTAAACAAAATGGCCGACCTAGAGTCGGAAATGGCGGGAGATAAACTTGGATTGCGGAAACATAAAGTTTGAATGTTAGAAACGAGTCCAAAATAGTAAAAACAAATGGGAATTTGTTGTATTTTTGTTGTACATCTACAGAGACCGGCCTTAGATGTTTATTTACAGGGTTTAAAATTCTATACATGGGTTTATATTTTCTTTGAAAAAATCTATTTAAAAAATAATTTCGGGAAAAATTATTTTGTTGCGAAACAAAATAAGTTAGAGAAAAAGTTACTAAAAGGTGGAAAACTTTTCATCCCTCCTTTCTTTAAAAATGGGGGGGGGGGTAATTTTCACAATATATGGTTATACATACGGTTATATATGGTTTTATACACCCCTGGATTTAAAAGTAAATCAGCATTATTATCTCATGTTGAGCTAAACTGAAGAAAAAACACCGTTTTGCAATCAATTTTCACTTCACACCAAACTAAAAAGTAATCTTCTTTTTTCTTATAGCATAAGCGATCTCATCAGATTCCGCTAGTTTAGAACTAATTTTAGGTTTACTATGGAAATACTGTTCACATCATGTAGGATCAAGCTCTCAATGCATTCGACATGTCGAATGCATTGAGAGCTTGCAAGCCCAACCTTGAAGTGGATTATTTACTTCTGTTATTTTATAAGATTCACTTTAACATCAAAAGAATTATTAAGATGTTTTTTTCTTCTTGGAATCTGCAAAAAAACATAAACAATTTATTTTAAATAATTCAAATAAAACAAATTCAAAAGATTTACTTTTTCAAATATTGAAAATAAAAAAGAATAAAATATTCTGTCGCATTAAAACCCGAAATTAAAAGATGTTTTTGATTTAAGCTTGACATGATGTTTTGACATTTAAAGCCTGATTAGAATCTCACTCATGTCAATAAAATATAAACGTATTAGGCTTTTCGGGTCTTCTAACTCAATTGTAAACATGTTCTCTTCGAGTACATTGTAAAACGAAAAAGATAAAAATTTGCGGATTTTATAAAAACAAACAAACAGACAGACAAGCAAAGTATTTACAGTTAACCCCTTAATAACGAATACATCGAAAGAATTCATCAAATGTTGTCTTCTTCACTTTGATAATGGAATGTTATTATTATTAAAACTGTTCCCGCATATTCATGGCTATTTATTTATTTACGCAAATACTGAGATTTGCGTAAAATGGTATAAAACCCATTGAAAAAAATTCAAGACGACATTTGATAAATTCTTTCGATGTATGGCTTATTTAGGGTTTTACTGTATATAGATACATTTGTGGAAAACTTTCTTTCGCTCTTTTAGAATCTATTAAAACTCCGCGCTTAAAGGTTTTCAACATGGCATAACGCATTTTTTACTTCGATACGCCGAAAAACTGATGTTTCGGGTGAAATGAAAATCAGGAGATTATTTGTTTGGAAGTTATATTGTATGGTTAAAGAAATGGTGTTTTCATTACGTTTTCTATTTTTTCATTTGTTAAGTTACAAATCGTTTTTAAAAACTAAAAACTTAATAAACCTTTTGATCGTTCTTTTCTATAAGTATTCCTGTATTTACTGTTTGAACTGCCTTCAGACTTCAACCAGATATAGAGCTCGCGTCTTTCAGAGATAATGAGATTTATATAAAGGTACGATATTCCTTAAGGGAGGTAGGTTTACAGATTTTACAGATAACATTAGAGAGCTAGGATTACAGATTTTACAGATAAGATATAGGAGGTAGGATTACAGATTTTACAAATAAGATTAGAGAGGTAGGTTTACAGATTTTACAGATAAGATTAGAGAGCTAGGATTACAGATTTTATAGCTAAGATTAGAGATGTATGTTTACAGATTTTACAGATAAGATAAAGGAGGTAGGATTACAGATTTTACAGTTAAGATATAAGAGAGGTAGGTTTACAGATTTTACAGATAAGATAAGGAAGGTAGGAATATATATTTTACAGACATGGGAGATAGGATTATTATCATTAATATTTTTTTTTATTATTTTTATTATTATTATGTACACAGTTTGCGTAGCTTTGATTTGGGGGTTCCTACAGTAGTTTTCTTGACTCAAACTAGAATCAGTTGTTTGATTTTGAATTCTCTAAATCACGTTTAATTAAAGTATAAATTTTTCACGTCACATTAATATAACATTTCTAATCATAACTCCTTTTTAAGTTTAAGTTTAAAACAAAAAGTTAAAACTATTCATTTATAAAGGTAGAACTAAATTAATTTGCTTTTTGCAGAAACTTAGAGGTAAATTCAAAACTATATGAGCTAAGTGATCACAAAGTCATATCTGTAATTTCTCAGTCCTAATGTAGCAAATATTGTTAACCTAAACATGCCTAAATATATTACGGTGTACGTTGTCAGTAAATCCAAACGTGCTTATCATTAACTACTTGTAATGCGATTAACCTAGCCTAGCTCGTCTGTAAATACGTCAAAACCTGTATTTTGATTAACTTATAATTATGTCAGTGACTGGTTTAACTACGCTTATATATATCCGTGCTGATCTTGTAAATACGTATATCAAACTTAATCTGTAACATAGATATCTAGTTACATATTAGTTGAAATAGACTCTGCTTTGATTACTGTGTTCCTCGTTTAGGGTACGAGATTATGAGATCTTGCCCAGTGGTTTGGCATTGATAGATTAGTTAAGATTGTGCCCAGTGTTTGGCATTGATAGTCTCTGAGTTCGTGCCTAGTGGTTTGGCATTGATAGAACAGTTTACGAGCTTGTGTCGGTGTTTGACAGCTTAAGATTGTGCCCAGTGGTTTGGCATTGATAGAACAGTTTACGAGCTTGTGTCGGTGTTTGACAGCTTAAGATTGTGCCCAGTGGTTTGGCATTGATAGAACAGTTTACGAGCTTGTGTCGGTGTTTGACAGCTTAAGATTGTGCCCAGTGGTTTGGCATTAATATAACAGTTTACAAGCTTGTGTCGGTGTTTGACAGCTTGCAAGATCGTGCCCAGTGTTTGGTAGAAATAGTTTACGAGTTCGTATCCGTGTTGGACACTGATAGCTCACGATTGTGTCTGGTTTGACATTGATAGTAAAGTGAGACTGAGTTGTACCTGGATTGATACGGGTTTGAGAAACCTATATGGAGAAGGGTATTCACCACACTAGTGTCTAGATTTGAGCACATAATAATAACACCACCTTCTATCCTATCCTTTGACCCCAAGGGCCAAGAAACTAAGACAGAAATCTCTGGAATTGAAATAACTATTTCTTTGTGAGAGAATTGGCAATAAAAGTGTGTCTAGGAGTCTAAAAGATCTAGATTAGACCGATTAGCCTAAATTCTTCTCAGATTTATTACACCCAGCTTAATATTACGATTAGTTTCCAGATCCACAAATATAAAAAATAAAAGAAATTTAGCAGAGAGATAAATTCTTAGTGTGTAAAAACTCAAGCAAAAGACTTCTTAGACTTCTTTATATCATCTTAGAATTTTTAAGCCAGACTAAGAACGTTTCCGTGGTTCTACCGACTTCACCAAATCAAACTTTGAGGCAAATCGGTCCAAGGGTTAATGAGTTTTGATCAGAAATCCAAACCTACAAACAAACAGAGATTTCTGATTCATATATATTATGTATACTAGCTTGGGAACCCAGCGCTGCCCAGGTTACTAAAAGTTACTCCCGCCGTTTACCCGCACTTGAATGATTTTACCAGGAAACTGAATTTTCGCGTTTTAAGTCGATCTACTCAACTTAGAATCTCAAAAACCAGGCTACGAATATTCCCGTGGGTCTCCCGAGTTCCCCCCCCCAAAAAAATGAGTCAAATCGGTCAAGGGGTTCCCAAGTTATGATCGGACAAACAAACAGAGATTACAACTTTAGATATATAATAGTTATAATGGTATAGATGCAATGCAAATAGAATATAGTTTTTAGATAAATCAAATTTAGAATACAATTTAAAATATATTACAAAACATGGAATTTAGATTAAAATAAATAGTGTATACATTAAAATTCAAAGAAATAAGATATACAATGTAGAATACATAACAAAAAGAATACAATTTAAGATAAATAGAGGAATACTTTAATTAAAATAAACAAAAGTTGTTAATGAAGGTCTGTAGCAAATACCTACTCCATACCCCTTTACTCTAGACGTATCTATCCAGGTCTACTCGTTACCAAGATCAACCAGGACCAACACTTTGATTCTAAATGCCAACAAGGCAATATCTTAACCAGGCTTAACTCCCCGGTTCTAAAAGACACACAGACCGAGTCTCAACCAGGATTAACTCCTTAGTTCTGAAGGACACACAGTTCAATAAAATTGCTACACTGGCAATTTCTCAACCAGGCTTAACTCCCTGGCTCTAAAGGACACACAGTCCAATGAAATTGCTTACAGGCAATTTTTCAACTCGTATAATTCAACCAAAAGCTCTATTTTCAAGGTAACTATAGGTTCAACTAGCAAAGATCCCCGCCTGTATGCTTCAAAGAGAACCAATTCTGTCTTCCAAGTATACTTAGGCTTCTGATAACGTAATCAAACGCAGAGTCTCAATCAACTAACTTTATTTAATAGCTTAGGTTACAAAGTTAGCAGAAATTGACGTAATTCAATTCCTACAATGTTATCGATATCACATGATTAAGACCATAATATTACATATTTATCGCACAGTTAAAGTTTAAGGTACAATTTAAAGGATTAAAAAGAATAGGTATAACGAAGTTAATCTATCTCTGCCCATGTTTTATAGTGTAATTTAAATATATCCCATGATTTGAGCAAATCATATTAAGTATTCGATTGAAACGCAGTTTCAAAAAATAATCTCATTATGTCTACGTTTAAAACATTAAATCATTCATGACGTACAACGTACTTTTTTTGCTACAGGGCTAGCTTATCATTTTTGAAAGTTGACTTAATTTTTGCAACGCTTAAATATTTTCCAGTGGCATTATCTGTTTTCAAGAGTACGTATTTTGATATGTATTAACATTTTTCTTTTACTTTCAGTATAATTCCAATTTTTATTATATAATGATTTAAGAATTATTCATATTCTTGAATTATCATTAATATTATTTTTGAATGTTATAATACTTTTTTTAATGCTCCATGTTTTTTAGGTGTATGTTATGTGGCTGCATTTCATTTTTAACAGTATTCTACCCCTCAGGTAATCTTTTGTACATTGTAAAATGTACAATGTTTATGGTGTACAGTGTGTCCCAATAAACATGGGAATTGAGGGACGAATTCAAGATTACCATTAGCATTCTAATACCTGATTTCAAAGGCCGTAATATTATCATGTCTGCTAGAGTTTATTTTATGAAAACGGTAAATGGCTGTAAAGATGTGTCAGTAATCTCTCTACAAGATGAACAGTGAAGACGGACAAATTTACTTTGTTTGTATACTAACATTTTCTTTTTTATTAAGTACAACTGTATGCAGTCAAAACATAAATGAACAAATTGTAAACATAGCAGATGAAAATCCTACAAATTACAGCTTTCTCAGTAGATATCACTATACTAAATCAAAGAATTACTTAAAAAGATGATATTGGATTCGTCACTGAATTCCCATGTTTATTGGGACACCCTGTATCAAGAAGATAATCAATTTAGGAAACCTATTTATTTTTCTTTTACTAAGTACATCCGTATGCAGTCGATCAAAGCATAGGTTTTGCACTATACTAAATCAAAGAATTATTTAAAAGACGATATCGGAATCATCACTCAATTCCCATGTTTATTGGGACACCCTGTACGTAAAGGGTAACACTGATTTTATAGTTCGGCCCCTGTCCCAGCAAGCTGTGACATTCGAGCACAATTTGACCTAATTAATACAAAAGTATTTTGCTTTTAATCTTTTCTCTTTTTTACTTTTTTGTCGGACAATTGAAAAAGTAAAAAACTACAACTTTGAAGAAAAAATAAACCGATTAAAGCAACACTGAAGATTGTATTTGATTTTTGTTACAAAGCAAATGGTTTTGGTAGTAACTTATCATACAATTATAATGTTAAATGGGTCTGTTTACACTGCACATTTGTATCTCATGTTAATTGGACTATTTAAAGTAATACCTTGAGTCTAAAAGTCGTCTTTTTATTCCAGAGATTTCTGGTTCTCACTGAAAGTAACCTTGTACAAAACTGGCCACAGTTGAAACCATTAAGACTTTTTTCTGGCAATTACAAAACAGTTTCATATGTCGTTAATCAACTCCCATGTATTCTAGGGAATATCGTGTAATATGTTACTTAGTAAGAACCATTTCCATTCTGTAAAAAAAGGCTGATTGATTGATTGATTTTTAGTATCTTGCTGACACTAAACACCGCTATTTATAGGAAACTCTCCACGGTAAATATTAACTCATTAATCCATTAATTCAATAATTCATTAATTCATTAATTCATCAACTCATTAATTCATTAATTCAATAATTCAATAATTCAATAATTCATTAATTCATTAATTCATTAATTCATTAATTCAATAATTCATTGATTCAACAATTCATTAATTCATTAATTTATTAATTCATTAATTCATTAATTTAATAATTCATTAATTTATTAATTTATTAATTTATTAATTCGTTAATTCATTAGTTCATTAATTCAACAATTCAATAATTCATTAATTCATTAATTCATTGATTCATTAATTCATTAATTCATTAATTCAATAATTCAATAATACATTAATTCATTAATTCATTAATTTATTAATTCATTAATTTATTAATTGATTAATTCATTAATTCATCATAATTCATTATATATCATTAATTCAATAATTCAATAATTAATTAGTTCATTAATTCAATAATTCAATAATTCAATAATTTATTAATTCAATAATTCATTAATTCATTAATTGATTAATTCATTAATTCATCATAATTCATTAATTCATTATATATCATTAATTCAATAATTCAATAATTAATTAGTTCATTAATTCATTAATTCATGAATTCATTAATTCATGAATTCATTAGTTAATTAATTCATTAATTCATTAATTTATTCGTTCATTAACTCAGAAGGGGGGGGGGGGCAGATGGTTTTCTTACAGTCTATTCTGTATATACAATATATATATAGTGTTGTGGAAATCAAATAAATTTTGTAAATTAATTTTTTTGTCTAATTTTTTAAATAAATACCATTAAAAATTGAAAAGATTTTTTCTATTGGCGGATTTTAAAAAACGGTTGTATATGAAATATGAGCAATACTTATGATTCCACCGAAACCGCAATGATTATGCAATGTACCACTAAAAAAACGTTTTATGATATATCAGCAAAATCTTATTCAAACACACCAAACTTTGCCAGTAAAAAATATTTCCGTTGTCTAACTTTAATTAATTTTGAATTTATTATAATTTTTTAATATTTTCTATTAAATATGTTTATTTTAATGCAGCATCTTCGAGAGGAGGAAACAAATGTAAGTTAGAATATTTTTACAAAATATATGTTTTGGGAGAAAGATTAATGGCACGAACCCTGAATAAGATTCTATTTGATTTCTGACTTGTTTGTTTTATCCTTGATTATATTTATGTTTCCTTTCAATTCTCTTCTGTATTTTTTGTACTCAGTAATCAGAGCTGAAACTTTAGAATTAATCACGATTACTTAATCTGAGTATCCAATCGACACACTTTTGATTTTCTTCTTAAACCGTTCTTTCTTGGGATATAGTAGAGAAAAATCAAAATCCAGTTCTTTAAATTAGAGAGTCCCTCCCGTTTCTGTATATTAATCTTAAATGGCGCGCAAAATTTCAAATTTATCAGCTTCATATATGCGACTCTGATTGGTTGGATTTTATACACTTTTCAAGTACAAGAATAGGTTAGTCTCGATATTATGAAAAATAGAGGATCACGCATTAATCTCGATACCCACCATTCTAAAGTTTTCAGCTCAGTTGAAGTGTTCGATCTTTAACTCTTTCAACAGCTATAGCTAATAAATTAATCTGAAAACAAGAATATTAAGTGAACTCGAGAATATTAACCCTATTCTAGTTGGGGTTTTCCCCCCCTCCCTGTATCCCCCCTTACCCCCATCCCCAATTTTATACAAATTTTCAATGTAAAATTTTGTAAATTTTGTACAAGCATCAGACGAAGACTTTTGTAGTTTTTGTAAAATGTCCCCCCTCATAGTCTAGAGTTAGTTTATTACGTTATTAAATTCAATTATAGATTAATAACAATACAGATAGAACACCATATGTCATCTTTTCAAGATTTAGGGGTTTACGTTCACAATAACCCTGCGGTAGAATCCTAAAGGAGTTCCGCGCATGCTCTTTCCCTGTCTTGTCATTAAAGGGAATGACCGGCTATGTAAGGTAGTTGAACTGAGTATACAGTGTTGTGGAAACCTTCTTTTGGATTCATTTAAAACATATTAAACTTTTTAAAGATCTGTAAATCCAGAAATTAAGCGCAAATTCGACGTACAAAACTCCTACTTTAGGGGGTGGATACGTTTTTAGAATTAGTTTTTTTGAATTATGGATCCGAAAGAAGTTTTTCACAACACTGCATACTCAGTTCAACTACCTTACATAGCCGGTCACTCCATTTAAGCACAGCTATTACTCCTTTAGGCCTCTACCTCAGGTTTGGATATTGTGAATGAAAACACCCTAAATCTTGAAAAGACGACATCTAGTATTCTATCTGTATTTTTATCAATCTATGAATTTAACTAAACATGAAACAAACGTAAAGAAAAAAGTACCCAATTAGAAACTTAAATCTTAAAGATACCTACTGATTTACTCTATAAGGAGTATGACAAGTTTAGAAAAGGGTAAATATAACATTATGATTCAAGTTCCTAATTAGAGTGTATTGATAAAATATCAAATTTTATAGCGTAAAATAAGAAACTAGAATTATCTGATATTAAAACTTGATTATTTCCATCAATACTTTTATACTCATTCTATAGTCTATAGCATGGTCTATCAACGTATGTGAGTAAGGGATATTAATTTTTTTGTGTAGCCTTTGGTTTTTGGTTGATTTTTTGGCGGATATTTATATATTGACTGTAGTATATTGTTGGGGGATATTGGTTAATTGATTATTATGTTTGTGGCGGATATTGAATAATTGACTGTAGTATATTGTTGTGGGATATTGGTTGATTTATACAATGTTTGTGGCGGATATTGATTGATTAACTGTAGTATATTGTTGTGGAATATTGGTTGATTGATACTATGTTTGTGGCGGATATTGATTGATTGATTGTGGTATATTGTTGTGGGATATTGGTTAATTGATTATTATGTTTGTGGCGGATATTGATCGCAATTGATTCCAATGTTCAGGGGCAAATATTAATTATTACATTTAAAAGTCTAGGGCGAATATTGATTATTCTATTTAAATATTGGGGGGGGGGGGATTTTGAATGTTTTGTTTGAGTGTTTGGGGGCAGGTATTGATAAAATATTTAATTTGAGTGTGTGGAGCAGATGCCGGGGCAGTTGCGGCGGAGTACTGAAGGACACCTGCGGCGGAGAGAGTTACGGTTGGCACGAATCAGTCTTCTGATCGTATTTATCTTTGTCCTCTGCCATACTCCGAAGGTGTTCCCCAGCGCATTCGAGATATGTGGACAGGATCCTCATGTAAGTATCTATCTATCTATCTATCTATCTATCTATCTATCTATCTAACTATCTATTATATATCTATCTATTTATCTCTCTATATCTATCTATCTATCTATATATCTATCTATCTATCTATCTAGTATCTATCTATCTATCTATCTATCTATCTATCTATATAAAGATGGTTCCTACTCTGGTTGAGTTCTCCCATCTGCTGCTGACGGTGAACTCTAGTGTAAACTTCCTAGTTTACTACCTAGCTTGTGGGAAACATGTCTGCCATATTTTCAGACACAGGAACATAAAAAGAACTAAACATACAGAAATAATGAAAATATTTATGTTAAAGGGAGTGTTCGTGAAAATTAAAAGGGGATATAGCCTGCGTGGAGTGACGCAATTTTGTTAATTTAAATGAACTCTATGCTATTGCAGATATTAGGCGTTTTTCACCATTTTCTCCTTATAGAAGCAACAGTACAATTAGTAGCGATCAAATGCGAATTCAATTCGTGATCAGACTGTAACCCTTTTCATTTTTTGCGAACACTCCCTTTATTGATAAAGATAATAATACGGATAATGAGAATATTTAAAGTAAAATTGATTGTGGGGATCTCTTGAAAGTTTCAAAGCCCCAGAATAATACACTAGCTCTAACTATAAAAAGTGTAATGCGTTTTTTTGTAAGAATGTAATCACAAAAATCTTTCTGGATTCCCGACATTGTTTTAATTTACCTGGAAACATAGTTATTTGTCCTGTAATACAGAGACTTAAAGGGAGAGACCGGCTAAACATGGTAGTTATGTTGACAGTGCTGTAATATAGTGAAAGACTTTACGATTCATTTGATACCAATTAAACATTTTTTCGGTTTACAACAATAACAGCGTAAAGTCGTTTGTAATAATTTACCAATTGTTTTAGTCAGCAGAGCAAACATTGTTTTCAATTATTAAATAACCCTAAGAAAACATCAAAAAACATTTTTATAGACTAATAATTGCTGTTTAGCTAGGAGCTAAGAAATTATCGATGAAAACCAAGCTTGTAGAACTATAAATGTCAAAATGTCACCTTCACAATTAAAGAAAACCCCCAACAAGCGAACCTAACTCGAGAAAAAAATTTGCAAAAACCTGCTAGATTTTAAAATGAATTTTAAAACTTATTTTCAGAGATATCAGTACATTATTTTTATCAACCTGTTTATATACATGCAATTAATTTGTAAAAAAGTATATTTGTTAAAAATTGTTTTCCATGTTATTTAAGAACTGTGAAAAAAAACTTTTCTTCTGCTGACTGCTACAACTAGTGAAATAATACAAACGACTCTACGATCATATTTAAAAATTGTACACCATAAGATGTCCTAAAGTCTTTTAGATTAACTACCATGCCTAGCCGGTCTCTCCCTTTAGGAGATTATCTGTAAAATTGGAAAATTTGAGACAAAAGATTTTTAACATTTTTTTTATTTCATAATATCAAATAGTTCTTTAATGTCTAGAGCGATAAACAGAAACTTCCAGGTAAATGATAATTCTTAATAAACTAGAGGGACATAAAATAAATTTGATATAACAGATTGTGATTATATTAAGCCGAAAAATATAACAGATTGTGATTATATTAAGCCGAAAAATATAACAGATTGTGATTATATTAAACCGAAAAATATAACAGATTGTGATTATATTAAGCCGAAAAATATAACAGATTGTGATTACATTAAGCCGAAAAGAAACTAATCTCGAATCACCCTTTGTTGGATAAATTGACAAAGAGGAAGATAAAGTAGTTTACTCAGGTTAAAATATAAGTTTTCTGAATTTTCTTCATTTTTTTCAGCTGAATAAATGAGGCCCTCATTTTCAGATAGAAAACAAAGAATAACTTCATAATTTTTGCTGAGACAAAGCTAGGTGTAATGGTTAATGTTGTAAATACAGTTCTCTTGAAATGAAAGGTCATTTAAAATTACGTTTTTAGATCTTTTAAACATATTTTTTCAATAGATAGAACCAGAATTAAATTATCAATTGATTTGGATTTCTTTTATTTTAAACCGACTTTTCCTTTTTTCTTTTTTTTCTTTTTCTTTTTGATTAAAGCTTTCCGATAAAGAGAATTTAACGTTTTCAAATTGTATAATTGGAAAAATCTCACAACTAAAGTTCTTTTTGTTAAACATTTTCTTTGAAAGCATTCCATTTCTGTTTATTGTTTTTTTTTTGACTAATTGACATTTCTATTAGATATATACATTATATGTATATCTCATATAATATATATTTATAACTTTAAAGCAATATTCAGAGCAGCTGCTCAGTTTTCATATTTTATTATTTCGGATTGCTCCTCTTCAGTTGATAAACATTGTCAAATTGATGTTTTACATATTTATGGATTTTTATAAATAAACTTTTTTTCTTCTGCGCAGCAAAAGGTTAATATCACCCCGGACAAACAAGAGTGAAAAGCATTTGGTTTCTTTTATTTGAAATCAAACATGTTATGGTCTATAATTCAACAATCTTTAAACTTACGGATTTGTTTATATCATACTTTTCCATTCAAAACGTATATGCCGACAACAAAGTAATTAAGAAAAAAGGCTAAAAATTATCTATAAAGGTCAAATTGTGATCGAAAGTCACAGCTTTATAAAATATTGACAGAACTGTTAAAGCCACGTGATTTTAATTAAACTAATTTTTGGTTTCCCAAACCCTTGATTTACTAACAGGATTTTAGTTGTCGACGCAAGGAATTATTTATTGAATAAATTAAATTTCCTTTGTGTCTGTTTTATTTTATTTTATGTATTTTGATTGACATCCAGTTAAGACTAGTCTTTTCAAAAAATGTTAATTTCCGAGCCGGGTCAACCTTTTCGGTTCCAGTTTGTACTGTACCTAGCTCTATGGTCAGGACTAGCCGGTGCAACATGGTTGACGCGGTCAGACTTTATGCTTCATATAGGTTGAATTTACTTTTACTAAAGAGGCAGAGGTGCGTGTTTGTATATTTAGATTTGTTAAGTAATCAATAGTCCTTCAGACAGTTCATGCTGGAGGTCTATCGGCAAAAGCCAAGTTTTTCATACCCCTCCCTAGTCCCTAGCAGTAAAAAAATTACAAAAGTGTAGCGCAAGAATTAATTGTTGAATTTATATTGAAAAAAAATTCAAATCTCTAGAATTGATCAACGAATTCATAATTTACTGTTCACAAAAAGCTTATTATTATACAGTTAAAGAACTTGAATGGTATCCATTTAAACAGAATTCTGTCACACATGGTTTCTCGAAAATTCAAATCAACTCGAAATCATAAAAATATGCATATTTAGTTTTATGACTCCAAATTGAACACTGGACAGTCTTCATATTTCTGGAAACTATTGGTCATTTTTCCCAGAAATATATTTTGGTTAAGTCAAATTGACAGATAGCCAAGTTTGATATTCAATATGCATTTATATTTTAAATACATGTAAAATTCCTTCGAAACAGATCCCTTTTTCTTTATTAATTAGTATTTAAGACTAAAAAAGTATGTTCAATTCAAGGTGTATCAATTAAGTCATAAAATTTCACTCCTGTATGCCGAGTCCATTAGCCCCTGATCCAATCAGGGTTCAGTCATGTGTTTGTTGTCTATTCTGAACCAATAGAAATCTATGGCGGTAATATCAATCTTTCTATCTATCTTATTATCCAATTAGAGATATGAATCCTGCAATCGGTGCTTTTAGTAAATGGAAATATTTACTTCTACTTAAACTAAGATCATTTGTCAAAGTCCCACCAATTTCAGGTTTGCTTCTCTAGCAAGGACTTTTGTTTTTGTTCCAGTACGTTTTTAAAACGTCCACGGAATTATTTTTAAAAAGATGCATTTTTTGACACGGGAAAAATCCTCTTTCACTTAAACTAATATTGTCATGGACACATTATATATATATATTGAATTGGTGAAATTAAATGGAATTATTTTAGTTTAAATGCAATAAAATCTTTCTCTACTCTCGAAACACAAAAATACAAAAAAATATTTTTTTTAGCAATTTCGCCATGTTCGCGTTATTTAAAGAAAAAAGTAAAAAGAGGTGAAATATATGGCCCAATAAATTGGTTCACAGTGAGAATATATATTATAAAGATTTATTTATTAACGTAATTCATGTATTTTCCCTTTTTTTGTTAAAAATAGCAAAATTTACGTCAATACTGGGCTTACTTCGGCCCTAAAAAACGAACTCAAATTTTCTAATCCTTATATTTTTGCAACCTGATTGTGTAAACTTTTGATATTTTAAACCTAGACTCTTATCCTACAGAATTCATAATTTGAAGTTCTACGACATCGAGTTCTGAAGAAACAGCGTTAAATTGGTGGTAAAATCTCAGTTCCTTCGTTCGTAAAATTAAAACTAAAGAAGCTACGGGATCATTCGCACCATTAATTTTGCATAAATTTAACCTCTTCTTTCCGTTAAATTTGCAATGAAATACTAAAGATAAATTTCAAATGGATTTTTGGATTAGGATTGCTTATTAATTGTGGCTTTTAACTTCTTAAATTGTATTTCAGAAATGATCATGCTTTATTTTCCTTTATTCTTGCTCCATATAATACTCTAGAGACACAATCCATTTAATTTTGCTCCATATAATATTCTAGAGACACAATCCCTTTAATTTTGCAGACACAATCCCTTTAATTTTGCTCCATATAATACTCTAGAGACACAATCCCTTTAATTTTGCTCCATATAATATTCTAGAGACACAATCCCTTTAATTTTCCTCCATATAATATTCTAGAGACACAATCCCTTTAATTTTGCTCCACATAATATTCTAGAGACACAATCCCTTTCCTATTCTAATCTGCTAATAAAAATGTTTTCGAACAAGTTCATCTATTTTCTTTTGTTTTTATTTAGTAAAAATGTATATATTTCTTTTTTTAAATATATACATCACCAAAAATGCATCGGTTAAGAATTTTTGTTTGGAATCTTTGAAAACCGTTTAGCAGAAAACATTCAAGATTTTAGAAAATTTCTCTACTTCTAACAAAAATTTCATTTTAAGGCTTCATTTTTTTATTGGATTTAACTTTTTTTTTTATCATGAACACAATTAATATTTATTTAACTTTAATTAATTTGGTTTTCATAGTTTCTAAATCTTGTTTATTGACATATAAATATATATATTTTCATAAACGGTATTTTGTTTAGTATTGTGAATAGCGAATAATTTATTTATAAAATCTTTTGTATAAATAATAAATTTTGAAAATCTATTGGTGCAGAATATCTTCTGGAATGTATATAAAGCCTAAATATTCTAAGTCCTCGTACACCCTTGAAATTGTTTAGTCATTCCACTTCTCAGAACAACACCCTTCAGCTTATAATTTGAAGTTCACTCTGTAATTTGACATTTTAACTGTAGTTTCCAGGATCCTAGATTTTAAACTTTATTTCACAAGTAATTTTTTAAATAGTGGGGGGGTAAACCTGGTGGGGGGGGGTTAACCTGGTAGGGGTTGGGGGGTAAAAATATGTGTTTCATGTTTTTCTCGATTACAATACAAAAGGTTTTCATATTTATGTATTTATTGACATCTCAGTAGGATTGGGTTATAACCGAGTATAAATAAACAGAGTCAAATATTTTCAAATATTCCAATATATATATTAGGAATATTCCAATATATATTAGGAATATTCCTATATATATTAGGAATATTCCAATATATATTAGGAATATTCCAATATATATATTAGGAATATTCCTATATATATCAGGAATATTCCAATATATATTAGGAATATTATTATCGACGGTGCCAAACAACTCAGTTTTATTAATAACTAGCTGAAATAACCGACGTTGCCCGTGGAAGAAAAAATTCAGAATTTTGAAAATATATATATTTTTTTTAAAAAAATTTTGATTTTAGAAAATCTCAAAATTTATTTAGCCTATGTTATTTAGCGGGCATCCAGGGGTTCCCAATTCAGCCCATTTGGTCCAGCTGCTGTTATGGCCAGCTAAAGCTAAAATATTCGGTCCAGCTGTTTGGCCAGCTAAAACTAAAATATTCGGTCCAGCTGTTTGGCCAGCTAAAGCTAAAATATTCGGTCCAGCTGTTTGGCCAGCTAAAGCTAAAGTATTCGGTCCAGCTGTTTGGCCAGCTAAAGCTAAAATATTTATATCTATGAGCAAAGAGCTTTATTTTATAGATTGAAAAAAGTCTTCCGAAATTAGTTTTTTTAAGTTCATAAAAATTCTAATTTTTTTCTTCATTTGAACATACTTTTTGATCTCAGTATCTGTAATATCTGTTCCAACTTTTAGCATAAAACATCAAACACAAATCCCTATTTTGTTATTGTAGATGTCTCAAAGGGAACACTGTACAATGATCTCCCAGATCAGTGAACCAGCTCTTCATATTAATATAGTACTCAAGGTACAGTGAACCACCTCTTCATATTAATATAGAACTCAAGGTACAGTGAACCACCTCTTAATATTAATATAGAACTCAAGGTACAGTGAACCACCTCTTCATATTAGTATGAACTCAAGGTACAGTGAACCTCGATCCTCTTCATATTAATATAGAACTCAAGGTACAGTGAACCACCTCTTCTATAGAACTCAAGGTACAGTGAACCACCTCTTCATATTAATATAGAACTCAAGGTACATAAATCACATATGTCTTAAAACATCAATATTTTACAAGCAAAGATTATCTCCACTTTTAATTCACAACTTCCCTTTGTTAACATAGCTGGATAGAAATCAAAGCTGTACTATAGAATGTTATCTTTATTATATTGGTAAATAGTTCAAACATTGAATGAAAAGTTTCATCTGTTTTTAAGACTGGGTCGACTTGAAAGTGTTGCCACGCCTTGGCCTTTGATTTTAGCTCACCTACTCAATTATAAGGGAATTCTTCATTTGGTGTACTGTTCCATTTTGTCTTTTATTGTCTATATGAGTACTGTACAGCTTGCTCTAGCAGTTTCAAAGTCGGCCCGGTACTTGAAGTGAACATGAAACATGTATATTTCAAACTTCAATGACCATGATTTATCTTTAGCATGTTCTTTAGCAAAACTTTCATCGTATTTTGCGTGAGGGATTGATATATAATGAACACAAGAGTATACACTATACATACATATAAATAATATACAATATAATAATGATATTATTAATTATGATAATAATTATGATGATGATAATATATTGTAATGATATTATCAATTATGATAATAATTATGATGATGATAATATATAATAATGATATTATCAATTATGATAATAATTATGATGATGATAATATATAATAATGATATTATCAATTATGATAATAATTATGATGATGATAATATATAATAATGATATTATCAATTATGATAATAATTATGATGATGATAATATATAATANCCCCCCCCCCTTCGTTTTTTGCGATAAATTAATTTTTAATTTTTTTTTTGGCTTTTCTAACTAACATATGCGCCTTACTTAAGGCTAAAGGCTGGGCTTTTAACCTACTGAGAGAGTCCTTCTTTTACCAACACCAGACTAATCTTTATTTGGACCTACTTCAAGTCATTGGATTTATAGCTCTTTAGAAAGCCATATATAAAAAGCAAGCAGATTGCACAATTTTTCAGTTTTTCTTGAAAACACATAAATATAGCAAACATTTTTACAGATTTGAATTTACTGGGTCAAAAAATGTAAAATTTGTCGAATTTTGCCCAATGTTTGCTCTTGCACATTTTTTGCTAAATAACTAGAACTCGCAATAGAGAGTTGGATTTTTGCAAATTTGCGATTTTTTGCAGATTACTGAAGAAGCACCCAAGGGCTTTCCAAAAACGTAGCAAATGTTAACGGGGTTATTGATGATATGATAATAAAAGCAATTATAAGAAATATGATGAAAATATTAAAAATGATGATGAAAATAATAATAATAATAATAGTAATGTGTGTAATACTAATATTAATGATAATAATAAAATAAGAAGAATTAATATTTCAGAGAGAGAACGGTTTACTAATTACTGAAACTTCAGGTCTTTGCTCCTCCGCAGTAGAGGATACTGAACTTTAGGTAACAGTACAGTACAGTACAATACAGTACAGTACAGTACAGTACAGCACAGTACAGTACAGTACAGTACAGTACAGTACAGTACAGAACAGTACAGTAAAGTATATTACAATAAAGTATAGTAAATTACAATAAAGTACAGTACAATTTAGTGCATTGCGGTACAGTACAGCAAGTACTTACTTCAGTACATCAGGCCCCTGTTTCTGGGTGAAAATTGTTTAAAGTTTTATTTCATAAAGCTGATAAAACAAGTTAAAGCTTTTAGTTTTGACAGAAAAAGCCAAAACTTAAACTTTTTTTAGAAAATGATTTATTTACCAATATTTTCAGAGCTGTGATGTCTTAAGACGAGACACGGCAATACACATTTAGAGGAAACAAGAAAGTTAAGATTACCTGGGTAATCAAACGACACTTCGCTTAAATTCAAGCTTTGTCGATCATATGAATATTTGAGATCCTATCAGTCAAGATCAAATATGATATTTGATGGCAGATTCCAAATGATCTTTGGATGAATTTAAAGTGGAATGAAACCTGAAATTGAATCCGGACTGCAATTATTATCTCGTCAAAGATCAAAAAGAAAAAGAAATTTATTTTTCAGATAATTTACATACTCTTCTAAGGTTTTCTGAAAAGAAATCTCTTTATCTCTACACCGTCTCTCTCACTGCACTTGGGAAATAATTCCGGAATACCCAAGGTTGTAATGCAAGGAAAGTTATTTCAAAAGTGTATGCATCTTTTGTACTGCAGTGTACTGTCTCTGGGTGGTAATGTAAACACAAGACGGATGTTGCAGCCGTACATGGGATCCATCTTTCACATAAAAAAATCAATGAAATATTCTGGTCATAGGAAACTATTATGTGAATTATCAAAATTTTCAAATTTAATGCTTTTAACCTCTTCGGATACTAAACGAACACTGATGCATCTATTCTTGTTAACAAATTCCGCCCAAAGAGAACTGGTTTCAATATGTACGCAGAGTATACACGACCGCACTTAACTTTCCTTGCATTACATCCTTGGGAATATCTTCCGGCATTGCGGAGACTCCTGCATTTTCAACCACAATCATCGCGAATTATGAAAACCGAGTAATTGCCTCCCAAAGCCTGTAAAGTATAATATAGATATTAATAAGTTAGCGTTTATTTCTTCAAAATTTTGAGTTTTTTCTTACTCATTATGAAATCCTTTTCTTTATTCTAAACCATGTTTCTTTCCTCTCAATTATTTGAACTCAAGCTCACTAGTCACTACATATTAAGCCATTTTCAATATCCCTAAATGATGTGTAAAATATTGTGTTTTGATTGAAAGCTGGATACTTATGTCTTTTCTTTTAACTTCAAAGGTTGAATATTTATGATATGATAACTTCTGATTAGTTATTATCAGCCTTTGATATATAAAAAAACTTCATTGATTGATTATGCTTGTGTGTGTATTGTGTACTTGAATTGTAAAGATCATTATATTTCTAAAATTGTTCTCAAATGTTCACAACAATGTAATTTTTATTGATTTTACCTTTGAATAATGATTCATGTAACCTTATAACAGGGAAAGAACATAGAGGTTTATTTTCTTGCTGAAAGTTAATCCACAACCATTCGAGTTTCTAGAAAATTAGACAAAACTTTTAATTTATAACCAAGACAAGCTAGAAAAATTTTTGAGATTTCTCATATTCCAAATTTTGAATTAACTTTTTTTTTCAGATAAAATCTGAAAAATCTTTAATGAAGGATTACATAAAAATTCCCGTAAATCTTTCTATTTTGAACAAATCAGAAATATTGAAAGAATGTTTTCTAGTCATTTATATATATATGTATGTCAAATTTATTACATATTTTTGATATATTTGAAAATGAATATACCTAAAATATTAAATATATAAAATATATTGAATATATAAAATATATTGAATACTAGCTGGCTTGGAGATCCACTTAACTTAGAACCTCAAAACCAAGCTAGGAATATTCCCGTGGACTTCCTGAGATCACCATTCAAAATTTGAGGCAAATCGGTCCAGGGGTTCCTTACTTATGATCGGACAAACAAACAGACAGACAGGCAAACAGAGATTACAACTTTATATATATATAGATATTAAATATATAGAATATATTAGATATATTGAATATATCAAATATCTATATTAAGGGTGATTGATTTGTGATTTTTTAAGAAATCGACTAACCGCCCACCTCAGGTTTCTGCGTTTTCACTTAATAAAAATATTGCAATAAAAAAAAATTCAAAATCGTCCATACGGTTGCGAATTGAAGATTTAATAAAGGAGAAATCAACGCAAGGCCCCGAAAATTTTTTTTTGACAAATTTCATGATTTACATTGTTTTCTTGGAAATTTTACGATAACTTTAAATCTGAAAACCGTTTTAAAAAAATGGAAATTGAATGAGTTAGAGCTAGAAAACGAATCAAAAACTTTAAAAAGTTTTAAAAAATGGATTTTTTAACCATTATTTGGCAACAACTTTTTAAATTCTAAATATTTTTAAAAGCGTTTTTCAGATTTAAATTCAGCATAAATTTCAAGAAAATGATGCATAACATGAAATTTGTCAAAATATTTTTTTGTTGGGGCCTTGCGTTCATTTCTCCGATATTAATTTGTCAATTTGCAACCGTATGGACGATTTTGAAATTTTTTTATTGCAATATTTTTATTAAGTGAAAACGCAGCAACCCCCAGTGGGCGGTTGGCTTAATTCCAAAATTGATCCCCCTTAAACTTTATATTTATATAGTTGTAATCTCTGTTTTTATGTCTATTTGTTTGTTTGTCCGATCAAAACTCAGGACCTCCTGACACAGTTTTCCTCAAATTTTTATTGGGGAACTCGGGAGATCCAAGTTTGGTTTTGAGATTCTACGTCGAGTAGGTCGACTTTAATTGAGAAAATTTAGTTTGTAATATCTTTCAAGTGCGGGTAAACGGCGATAGTAACTTATAATAACCTTGGCAATGCTGGGTTCTAAGCTAGTATTGAAATATAGTTATTAGATCTGATATATCAAAAAAATTGTTGTTAATTGCAAATCAAAAAATGATTTAACGCAGAACAGTTTATGATAATTATTTACAACTTCTCCACAGGGAAGAATAATTTAATATTTAAGATTTCCCAAGACCAATTTTGTTGGCAAAAATTTTAAAATTTCTAATTTCCCGAAGAAGAAGTTGTATAAAATTCATTTGTATTTTGAGATGTACCTTTACAAAGTTGTTAACAAAAACTTCACAGAGCGGGTAGATATTTTACTTAACTATCCCAAGGGACAGTTAAATAATTTACCATCCCACTGCTGGGAAAATCATAGGTCGGTAATGTTGGTCAAAAGGAGGTTAAAAAATGCCAACAAAACTATTCGAAAATTTGTTGTGTTTCTGTGAATTTTAGAAAATGTTAATCTTTGTGAAACGTTGACTAAGCTAACTCTCCAGTTTTTGTTAGTCTGTTGACAGTTATAATTATTTACAACTTTAACTTCACAGGGAAAGTAAAGGGAATTTTACTTTCCAAGGGTTCTCCAGACAAATTTTGTCTACAAAACATCCATAGCGCAGCGAGGGATATTTTAAAGATAAAATTTGTCGAGAAAACCCGTGGTTAAGTAAAATTTTTAATTTCCCGAAAAAGTAATTGTACACAATTTTATTGCTTTTTAAGATGAAAATTTTATTTCCAAAATCTTCCCAGAATGGGTGTTTATTTTAGAAAACTGTCCCAAGGGACGTTAAGTAACCGAACCTCCCAAAAAAATGCATGAATAATTTAAGTTTAAATTCTAAGAAGGGGGATTACCCCCCCCCCCCCGTGACTGGTGAATTATTATTTTTTGTGTACAAGGCTTAAAAATCTCTCATGATCTCAATTTTTAAACCAGAAAATTCAAGTTTCAATTTTTGAGCCTAATCATCTGTATAAATTCATATTCATTTCAATATTCAAATAATACTTTTGTTAACTCATGATAAAAAAGAATTGATAGATAAAATTCTGCCTCATAAAACACACAACGATGAAAAACTGTAAAATTATAAAAGAAAAACTATAGGTAGACTATATGTACAAATACAATGTATGTGTTATGTATAAAGTACTTCAACTTGCAAGTTCTTGTCAAAAAAAAAATATTTTATTTCTGATACTTTTATACATGTTTAAAATGCAAAAGCAAAATCAAAAAAGCAAAGTTCTCTCAACATATATTTTGCCTATTTTTCAAAAACAAATGTAATGTTAACTTCTTAACCCTTTTTAAAAAAAGATATAACTTGAAAAAATGTACATTGTTTGAATAGATTAATAATTAAATTCTTAATAAAGTAGATGTATTGTTAAAAAGCAAGATTATTAAAAAGTATAATATTTATATTTGTTAAATGTTAAATAACTTGCTGTGTAATTTTTGCTTTTCTCTGACTAATGTTAAGGGAAAACCGTATATTTGTACATGCATTGGATGAGGGAGGGGGTGCAGGGCCGCCATAAGCCCCACAAAATATTCTCAAAGCCTTCGTATTGGTAGATGAGTGTTTAATTATTAGAATAGGTATTATAGAAACGAAAAAATAACACTTTTTTAAAGAAAATATTTAATCTTTATTAATTGGCAAAATTTGATAAAATATGGTCCACAATCATGATCATGCTAGAGTCAAGTGAGGGGGGGGGGGGGGAATTCGCCCCTTCCCCCCCAGTTGCGCTACTGACCACAAAATCCATTTAGCATGTTTTTTTGGTGAAATAGCAAGACGACTTTTAAACTTAAGTTAGAACTTAAACTAGTTCAATGAACATTAGACATAGCAATTGTACAGTGTAAATAGACCCTTTTCACTCATATAGTACTTTGCTAAGTTACAAGTAACAATATTTGCTTTGTAACAACATAAAAACGCTTAAGTGTTGCCATAATGTCGTCTTTCTATTCCATGGTTTTCTGGTTATCACTGTATTAGAATATTAAATATTTTTTTCCGAACAATTTTGGACAAACAAAAAAACCCTTTTTTCGTTTTATAAACTTAACTTTGTCGTAACTGAAAATTTCAATCAAAATTCTTAAAAGAGCCAAGACTATCCAGCACTAAACATGTTTTGGTCTATGCAAAGACTTTGAGTCTATGATTAAGCAATCTTTAAAATGACGGATTTTTTTATTGATACTTTTTCATTCAAAACTTTTTGTTTACTTTAAAAAAAGTCTTCTTTATCGCTTAAGACTGAAGAGAGTGGTATTCTTCATTCTTTATTATATTTTCACTAGCCTATACAGTGCATATGCAGATTCAAGAACCCTATAAATAAAAAATATTTAACTTGTTTCAGTAAAGAAAATAAAGTTCTTCGGAACAAACATCGTTGCTATATTCATGTTTATAGTTAATCTGTATAAATGTTGTGCCAAAAATTGCATTTCCATGATAAAATTATGTGCAATAACTTTGCAAAAACTGCCAAAATTGAACCTGCATTAAGTTTGCCATTTTTAAATTTGCAAGCAATATGATAATTAAGAAAACACACGCTAAGAAAAATTTTAACTTCTTGAATGAAATTTTGAACTTACAGATGAGTTACCCACAAAGGACGAGACTTCAGAAACGTCTATACGAAATGTTTAATGTCTGTTTCCCTGAACTGTTCTTTGGGAAATCAATACAAAAGCCATTTAGCGAATATATCACTCTGGGCCGTATTAAATTTGAATTCGAACAGGACCTGCCCAGTTTGTACCGGCCTGCCAGATAACAGCGTGTACTGACCCGATCCTATGGTAGCCCGGACTATATTCTGTACAGTACGTCGCCCTATCCAGACTAACATACGACAGGGCTAACTATGACAACTCCCATGGCGCGTTCAGACTTTTTACAGTACCCGAACCTATTCCTAGACCTATTTGACCGACCCCACCGTGATATGATGAGGACTTAATCTAACCTTAGAATAATTATATTTTAAAAGTTTCAAGTCGTCTTTGCAGTATTACTCTTTGTGGGTAACCCTGTAAAAGTGTATGAGATATTTCAACATTTCTAGCAAAATTTTTAATATATCGAACATATTGTTAAAATTGTCAAACGTCAAAGGGATAATATGCAGAATACCCCCCCCCCCTCAAAATGTTCAAACTATAAACAACCAATTTCACTGAAATCACGTTTCATTTTTGAAAAATTTCAAGCATTTCATGTACCTTTTTAACAAGCATACGTATATTGTATATTAATAGATGTATAGAAATTGATGTATTTTCGGAGATAAAATAAATGTTACTATTTTTATGGCATCAATTGATAATTGTGTTGGAGAGCAACATTTTAATGGAAAATCTATGGAACACTCGGGATTTTTTTTTGCATAAATGAGCTAGCTATTAACACAATATTCGGATACGTTTCAGTAATTTGGTTCAGCTACGAAAATATTATTTAGCTTCAATCTCACGATTACCAATTATAATAAGTGTGAAGATTTCCAAGTTTGGCTTATGATGTTTTCTCTTAAGAATTTCGATCTTCTCCGTGAAATCCAGGTAATTAATCCATCTTTTGGTGGTGTATTTTCTGACCTACGCCAAATCCGCTATATTACACATCCGACTTACTAGCACGTGATTTTACAGCTACTATATGGACTTTGGTCGCAGCGCCCGGCCGCCTAGCCAGTCCTAGCCGCGGCGCTCGGCCCAGAAATTGTCTTAACCTAACCTAACCCTAAAATAATACAATAAAAAACAGCTGGCATAGGTCCGATATTGCAGTAGGTCGGAAAGTTAGTGGGTCAGAAGACCAGTAGGGAGGATGTTTCTTATAGACGATGTAACATTAACCATCTGGTGTCCAGCCTAACATCAAATGAAATTTGTGTTTTATAAGTCATGAACCATGATAAAGTAAAAGTATTTTTGGAAACCCGACAATTATTACACAAATTGTCATCGGAAAGTAATTGCTATTAACTGGGTGGCCTGACCACAAATATAATAAAAAGGATAATCTCAGTAAGTTCTTTCAAAAGGCTATATTTATTTAATTAATTATCCTTTAAAAACATAAGTTTGGAATTATTTGCTAAAAACCGTTATTTAGTTAAAATTAAACTTTGCTATTATTATTTTTAAAATTCTAAGACAATAATACTAAACCTTTCAAAATCGGCTTTTTGGTCGGTTACGCGAATTATTCAACGATGTTATAGTACATAGAGTGATGTACTCTAATCCTTTACTAATTTTATAGGCCACAACTGTGCCGAGAGCGTACTGCAAATTTGTTTGTTATAAGGGGATTCTGGCCTAACCTATAGTAAATCAATATTGGAGAACAGTTGTAAGTGTTCAGTACAGCTAATTAACTGAGCCCACAGGTAGAGAACTATCATCCCCCCTGGTTTTATTTCATTGAGATCAACCTTTAAAAACTCAGTTTCAACCAATGTGGGGCTCGGCCAGAATTTTGCCAACTCACTTAGCTTGGATTAGGCAAATGATGCTTAATGAACAAAAAAAAGACTTCTAACTTGCAGCTTTCAAAGTAAGCAGAAATGTGATACAGGATGTATCAGAATCATACAGTTAAATTAATTGCCGCCTATAGTTATAACATATTATAGAAAATAAAATATATTTCTCTTTTGAATAAACAATAAAATATTTATAATACAAATCTACATAAAATTACATAAACCAATATTGTTAAACTACAACGCAATAATGATTCTAAAACATATTACAATATCCACAGTAATGTTAAAACATATTACAGTTTTCTACAGTTTTTATAAAACATATTTACATTTTAAGAATAAAATTATCAAGATCTCCATTTGCCAATATTTTAAACCTTTTCTTATTATTTGAAAGGTCATTGAGACTCCCGTGGATTATGAAGGAACTGAGTGTTTACTTATAAGATCCATGATCCAATCAACCTCGGTGACCTCCTGGTCAGTAGACCCACCAGCCTCCATTCTCCGTCCCTCCAGGCTCCTCGGCCTCCCCATCAACCTCTCCTGCAGCAAAGCCTAAAATAATTAATTATTACTAATTATAGCGCCATTTTTGAACTCCCTGAATTGGAAAAAAACCTAGTATAGGAATAAAATTGCAAAGTGATAATATTGTAATATTTAACATGGAGAGGAGAGGGTGGGGGCCAGGGGGGAAGGGGGGGTAATACTTAAGATAAATAAAACGCTTTTGAAAAGCAAATAACAAACTAATTATGCATTACACACGCTCAATACTGAAATAAATGTATACACAATAGGTAAAAATTTATGTGAAAATAACATGAATTTAAAGAGAAAGAAAAGGATGCTAACAGAATATTTTTTGAAGAATTAACGTCGATACTCGGCTACAATAATCCAAGCTTAGGATCCATTTAATTTTGATGTGGATTCTGCATTTCTTTCGAGATTTATTGAGTTTTCGACAAATTATGAAATTTAAATTTCCTTCTCGCTTATTTTTATGCAAAAAGATATGTTTATATAAACACACAATATTTAACTTTCTAAAATGGAGAGTTACCATCCTAACAGTGAGAAACCAAAGGAACAAAAAGATTGAAGAAATCAGAAACGGCTAAAATTTCTCTTTTTTTAAATCTTGAGTTTGTACAACATGAAAATAAAATAATGAAATTGAGAAAATGAAGCGATTTATCATGAAAAATTCTGAGAAAATACAAAAATAAAATGATTTAGACAAATAAGAAAATCTTGGCCATTAGTTTAAAAAAACTGAGCTTCCTACGGACTGCATCTAAATTTACCTTTACAGGGTTCCACATGTTTTCAGGGGTGTAGACAATAGAGTTGGGAGGGGGCAGTTCGCCGTCATACCGGACCAATAAATTTACAGGGGTAGGGGTCGTAGTTGTGGTTGTTGTGGAGGTAGTTGTTGTGGAGGTGGTTGTTGTAGAGGTAGTTGTTGTAGAGGTAGTTGTTGTAGAGGTGGTTGTTGTAGAGGTGGTTGTTGTAGAGGTGGTTGTTGTAGAGGTGGTTGTTGTAGATGTGGTTGTTGTAGATGTGGTTGTTGTAGATGTGGTTGTTGTAGGTGTTGTAGATGTTGTTGTTGTTGATGTTGTTGTAGATGTGCTGGTTGTTGTGGAGGTGGTTGTTGTGGAGGTTGTTGTTGTGGAGGTTGTTGTTGTGGAGATTGTTGTTGTGGAGGTGGTTGTAGAATTTTTAGCTCTAGTGACTGTAGGGATTTTGGTTGCTAGTGTTGTAGGTTTGGTAGAAGTGGTTGATGAAGAAGTTGTGCTAGATCTTAAGGTCGCTGTAGAGGTGACAGTAGTTGGAGTGGTTGTGGTCGAGGTACTAAAGTTGGTCGTTGAAACAACTGTAATTATCTGAGATGCTGAAGTGGTATTTGTTGTTACAGTTGGAGCTGTTGATGTTTTGTTTACCCAAGCTCCTGCAGGCTCAACTTGGACAAGTCCAATGAAAAGGATTTCTTCATCCACCCCTTGATTTGGACTTGATGTTGTAGTTTTGTAGAGAATTGATGGTGAAAAAATGGTCGAGGATAAAAATGGTCGAATGGAGGAATTAGAGGTTGCCACTACCTCAGGGAAGCCCTGAGTCGGTTGGCCCTGAACGTTGATTGGATCTATGGTCGATCTTGTATTGGCCTCGGTTCCTGTTCTGTTGCTAGAACCCAGTTGCCGCGTGGCAACATAAACCATGCTTTCCCCGCAGTCTGGTTGGCAGAATCCCCAGCTGTTTCCTAAAAGGTAGCCATGTTGGTCCACAGCTGTCGGGCACCACATCCTAAACAAAATTACTTTAATAATATTTTAGGATGATCTACTTTTCATCCCCGAGAGCAGTCCCTTAATAAAATATTCAAAATCAAGTTTAGCTTTGAAATCTGAGAGTACATAATCCAACACTAGAATACTAAAATTAGACATGTATTTCAGTCTTGAATGAATTTTCTCTCAGATCGAGGTATCTTTTAGCACTTTAACAAGATATCTGTTTAAATGTGAATACTACAAAACCTAAGGATTCAGATATGATAAAGATATTTTAATTTTTATTATAAAAAATATATATTTTAAAATCGCAGTTTAAACCAGAACTGTTAATGACAATGTAGAATGTGCAGAGAACACTAGCACAGCCTATAGATTTTTTTCCAAAATGAAAAAAAGTATTATCATATCGCCAAATTTTTTTCTTCAATTTTCCTATAAATAAAAAATTTTCCTGTAAAAGTTAGTTATAAGCAATAATAGACCCCCCCCCCAAAAAAAAAATCAAATTTGTTCTTTTTTCATTTAACTTTTACCCAATGAGCAGAAATTTTGTTAAATAATAAAGGAAGGTATTCCAGATGGAACTTATATTCACCGCAGTACTTCTACTCAAGAAATTAGAGTCCATTTTATTTTAATGCAATTCCAGGAAAGGATTTGATAAAAGGTTTGTGTTATTATGCAAAAAAAAATTAATAAAAGCCGAAAATCTATTTTAAGACATTTTGGTAAACAATTTCCTATTTGCCAACCTGACCCGGCAATTTTAACTTGGCAGGACTTGAATTCGAATGCGTTAGAACTACTACTTAAACCTACCCTGAATGTTGAATGTTAACCCCTACAGCAGGCGCACAGCTCCAGTGCAGCTGGTCATCTGTATAGAACGGGAACACGCATCTTCCTCCTTTATAAATTCATCAATCTTTATTTATAATAAAGCTCTTTGCTCATATTTGTATGTATGTTATCCAAACGGCTGGACTGAATGGGCTGAAATTGTTTCATCTATGGCTTTATGCATATCAAACGAAAGCTGACCCTCTAATGACCTAAAATGACCTCCAAAATGAAAATGTTGACTATGGCATGAGGTCTTTAGAGGTCATTAAAGGGTCAAACACTAGATTCGTCGCTGCTACTGCATTCCTTGGGTTTCTAGCTTTCTTGGTTATGCATTAAGCCACAGTGAAACATTTTCTATTTGTTGAGGTCATTCGAGGTCATTAAAATTCGATTTTATTTTATTTTAGGAAATACCAACACTAATTAGGCGTGCAGCCAAAAAATTGGAAGATTAGAACCAAAAATGAAGGAAGTGACCTCCCCCCTCATCAAAAAAGGACATCTCCATCCCCATTTATTTTCTTCAAAAATACGATTTTTTAAAGAGAATTTTATTCCTTTCAAAACTTCGATCAAATCATTATATGTATATTGAATTGTAAAATACAGAGCGTCCCATATCATATTGGATTATCTCCAAGCTTTAACCCCAAAATACGCGCGCACATAATACTCGAAAAACTATACAAAGTTTTATATTAGCCTTATACAATTTCTTTAAATAATACATTTTTAAAAATTTTCTGACTAGTCCCGAAAATCGCTGCTGTACCCTTCAAGCGTGTTTGTCTGAAATCATCGTTTTACTTCAGATTAAAATTAAAATTTAAAAAATTTGGTTTTTTATTTACTACTTTTCCTGATAGAAAACCGAGTGAGGGAATCAGACATGCCATAAAACAAAAAGGGTCAATTTGGTCCTTAGTTCAATATATACCTAAAGAGGGTTAATTTAGTCCCTAATTCAATATATACCTAAAGAGGGTCAATTTAGTCCCTAATTCAATATATACCTAACGAGGGTCAATTTAGTACTTAGTTCAATATTTACCTAAGGAGGGACCGCCTACAGTTATACACTTCCTTTCCTGAAGAGGGCAGGAGGAGGAACAATATCCCCATTTACCAGCGATATATTTACCCTGAAAACAGAGATATATTTACCCTGAAAACAGAGATATATTTACCCTGAAAACAGAGATAAATTTACCCTGAAAACAGAGATAAATTTACCCTGAAAACAGATATATTTACACTGAAAACAGATGTATTTACACTGAAAACAGAGATAAATTTACTCTGAAACCAGAGATATGTTTACCCTGAAAACAGAGATATATATACCCTGAAAACAGATATATTTACCCTGAAAACAGATATATATTTACCCTTAAAACAGAGATATATTTACCCTGAAAACAGAGATAAATTTACCCTGAAAACAGAGATAAATTTACCCTGAAAACAGATATATATTTACACTGAAAACAAATGTATTTACCATGAAAACAGAAATACTTACCCTGAAAACAGATATATTTACCTTGAAAACAGATATATTTACCCTGAAAACAGATATATATTTACACTGAAAACAGATGTATTTACCATGATAACAGATATATATTTATACTGAAAACAGATGTATTTACCCTGAAAACAGAGATATATTTAGCCTGAAAACAGATATATTTACCCTGAAAACAGAAATATTTACCCTGAAAACAGACATATTTACCCTGAAAACAGATATATATATACCCTGAAAACAGAGATATATATACCCTGAAAACAGATGTATTTACCCTGAAAACAGATATATATTTACCCTGAAAACAGAGATTTATTTACCCTGAAAACAGACATATTTACCCTGAAAACAAATACATATATATACACTGAAAACAGATATATTTACCCTGAAAACAGATATATATTTACACTGAAAACAGATGTATTTACCCTGAAAACAGAGATTTATTTACCCTGAAAACAGAAATATTTACCCTGAAAACAGATATATTTACCTTGAAAACAGATATATTTACCCTAAAAACAGATATAATTACCCTGAAAACAAATATATTTACCCTGAAACAGAGATATATTTACCCTGAAAACAGAAATATATATACCCTGAAAACAGATATATTTACCCTGAAAACAGATATATTTACCTGAAAACAGAGATATATTTGCCCTGAAAACAGAGATGTTTACCTTGAAAACAGATATATTTACCCTGAAAACAGATATATTTACCCTGAAAACAGATATATTTACCCTGAAAACAGACATATTTACCCTGAAAACAGATATATTATATATATACACTGAAAACAGAAATATATTTACACTGAAAACAGAGATATATTTACACTGAAAACAGATATATTTACCCTCAAAACGGAGATATATATACACTGAAAACAGATATATATTTATACACTGAAAACAGATATATTTACCCTGAAAACAGATATATTTACCCTTAAAAAGATATATTTACTCTGAAAAAAGAGATGAGATATATTTACACTAAAACAGAGACATATTTACCCTGAAAATAAAGATATATTACAGTGAAAAAAATATTTATTTACACTGTAAGAGAGTAAATTTGGCTTGTCTGTTTGTTTGTCTGTTTGTTTGTTTGTATCCAATAAACGTCAAAACGGCTGAACCGATCGGGCCCAAATTTTTTGTGGGACATCACGTGACCACAGGGAAGGTTTATGAATGATCAAAATTTTAAATATTTGTCTCCATCAAAATTCGATCTTCATTAAATTTTT